AAGCCTCCCAAGTTGAACCAAAGAAAACTCTCTTCTGGTTTTCAAGTTCATCGTCATTTTGAATTAGTGGTGGCTAATGGATTTAGAAGGCCTCTGATATGATGCCATTCGCATACGTTTCTTTGTCGGTGCTCTCAAATCCTACAAAAGAAAAATAAGAACTTGAAACTAGTCCAAAGCCATATCAAGCAAGGAAGCAACTAGGCAAATAGGTATGTCAATCTAATCTGTCAGTGTTTGCTCTACAATTGGAATATGAATAGCTTACATCTTGAGAAGAAAACAACGCTTGTACTCTACGCTGCAGCAAAGCCAGCATGTAACCAAAAAATCCAGCCGCAACAAGCACTGCTATCCCTGCATTGATGATTAACACATTATACAGATTTCCAATACCATGTGGGGGATCAAAAGAGGTAGGACTTGAACCATACCCAGATGGAAATTGCCATCAAACTCATAAGAACAATCCTCATCATTGAGTTGGATTTCTCTAATTGCCTGGTTCCCTCTATCTACAATCAAAATCGAGCAGCTACTTCTGATATATATCACATCAAAATCATCGGAAAATTTTGCATCCTCACTTGGACCATCAACATGACCTACTCCTTTACCCCATTTCCCTCCAGCAATAGTTGTGACTCCTAAACAAATATAAAATTTAAACAACATTATCCAAATTCACCTTCCTGATTCTTAAAGAAACAAAGTTTCAGGAGTTAACATAACAATCCCTCAACATACTCGATTATTGTTATTACCTGCATCACTGACCTTCCTGATAGCCATGTTCATTGTGTCTGCGATGTATACATTTCCTCTATCATCCACGGTCAGTCCTTTCGGGTGGTACATTCTTGCTTCTCTTATTTTACCATCTACATGTCCTGAGTAACCTTCAGGTGATCCAGCAAACAGTTTTGGCCTGCTATCTGAGAAGACATAACAATGAAAGATATCAAGATATGAAATGAACTAATTGAATAGACATTGATTATCTAAAAACAAAGAAAAAAACGAGTTTTATGGTACATTCTGTACCATATCGTAACTTCTCTCCTCATCTAAACGAAAGAAGAAAAAAAAAAAGAATCAAGTTAAAAAGAATGCAGATGAACTAGCATATCAGAATAGCAAGTGTGAAATAGGCCTTTTTAACTCTTAACTAAGAAATGCACTAACCTTCTCGAAGAAGCTCAGACTCAAAGTACACAGAAACAAATGTTCTTAGGAAAGAAAAGGAGACAAAAACATAATGCAAAGGCTTAATATAGAAGAAGCTACATGATGAGTAAATTGCAAGTCTAAGTGGTCTAAGGGGAAAAAAGTGAAAGTGCAAATCTTCAAAAAGATGAATTGTTTAGGCGGCAACAGAACTAAAAGTTCTCTTGTATTCTAAAAAGCTGAGTCTTCCTCTAAACAAAAGCACATAAAATTCATAATAAATCAACATGGAATTTGGAATCTACCAATATCATTAAAGGAAAAGAAATCAATAAAACGGGGAACCCAAGTAATAAAAATTTCAAAAGTGAAGAAAGAATATTGAAAAGCAAACATACATTTAGATAATGGCATTGAAATCTTATAAACATTACTGTTCTTAGAATCCAGGACAAGAAGCCCTCCAGTAGGGGAAACTTCAACTGAGTATGGTTCAATTCCCAGCTTACTTCCATCAAACACAGTCTCCACAGTATACCCACTCTCGAATTTCATCATTGAAGGGCTAGAAACTGCTGGGAAATCATGGAGAATATGAAAAAACAGAGTAAAGCAGAGAAAATGTGGAGCTAATTTACAGATCTTTACCAGATTTTATAGTGGTAGATTGTAGAGACCAAAACCATTTCCATACAACAGAGACCACATTGGAGACAAGCCCACTTAGAATTTCTGAAATAAATTAAATTTGAAAGAAAACATGAAAGGGTCAATAAGAAGAGAGAGATTTGAAACAGAGAATTGCTAAAGAAAGGGAAAATAGAGGTGGAGATGACAGTACTCACTAACAGGAGGAGTAGGTGCGGCTGAAACTGAAGAGAACCCAGAAGAGAGGAATAGGAAAATGAGAAGAAAAAGTAGCCAATTCTTCACCATTGTTGGGTTTTATTAGACTCGGTTGAACATGAAAGAGAACAATGTTATGCTCAAAATGTAGAGATTTAAGCT